GACAAATTCAGACCCAAACTCCACAAAGGCATTTAAGCACCTATTTAGCTCAGGGAGAATTAAGAACCTCACTGCATATACTGGATCTGAGCTAAAATCCCTTTCCTGGATGCTCCCAGCACCAGCTCCAGTCAGCATGCCAAGATGATGCTTGTCAGTAGGACAGCTGAGCCATGACCCCCATGTCAGTAGTGATATTACCAAATAGGCCTTTTGGAAATCATTTTGTAGAGCTGCAGTTTCAGACTCTGGGAGGCCAAAATCACTTACACAGCCTACTTCAGATAATCTAATTAAATACTGTTATCAGATTAATTATCCTCTGAACAATAATTATGATTAAGGAGCTGCATAGCCACTCTCTGAGGAGAGCCAGCAATAATGAATTAATATTATTTCTCTAAAGGTCAGTTTTGGTGATATTTTGACATGTAGAAACTGTCCAAACACAACCAATACAAAGAGGTTTCTTTGCTATATGGTGACCTCCTGAACCCAGCTGGAGAAGCTTAGCATTTCCCAAGCATTCCTATGGCTTAACATTTCCCACACATTCTGGGGAGATACTACTGAAGGTGGGCAAGGATACCACAGTTCAGGTATTTCAGATCTGCTGCAGGCAATAGGAGGGTTGATGTAACTGCTCTCTTCCACGGAATAGGAGGGGGAAGATGCTCTAGAAGACACAATTTCCCTACTTCCTCTTTGACACCAACACTGGTAAGGTAGCCTCACCAAAAACAATCCACTCTACCATGAACCAACCCTGTCCCATCCTTCCCACACCTCCTGTCACTCCTGCTTGTGAGAATGCTGGCAGACAACTAGAAAACAGACTAAGCCCAGAAGGCCATGGCTCTTCTTTAATCTGAAACCACACCACAGACCTATAATGATTTACAGACAATGAGCCAAACCACTGTGACTCTTCCTGGCCATTCTCCCGATGGCCTTCTCCCAAACAAACACACTCCAAAGTTCTCCTTGCAGCCTGTTGCATTGCATTCCAGCCAGGGAAAAAGTGGATCTCACCCATGCAGGTTTATGCACGTTGCATTTCCTATTTAATTCCCCACATATTGTTTTTAATCAATCTGTAGATTTCTTTTGTCAGTGGTAATTAGAGTGGAACATTTCCTTCCCCAGGGTGTAGTTCTGTAGCATAATGCTTTTCCCTAATAGAGGAGGGGGGAGAGTACAGCATGTGGTGATTTGGGGGTCTGAACACACATCCATGAAATGGCAAGCTAATGAGTTAATGTCTGGGTGGAAAGCAGAGAGGGAATATGGAGAAAGCCAGAGGGTGGCTGTCTGTGAAATGGATCTCTCTTCTAGCCCCAAGTAGAGTGCTCTGGATACAGCAATTACTGCAAGCTGTTCCACAGACCAGACAAACAATGAATCAAAGCCAGGCTAGTGGTATCAGAACTCATGCATGAAGAAGATGCATTACAGAGCATAGTTTCAATTATTATATTTGCCAGCTCCACTTGTGAATTCACCAGCTATGATAAATGTTATCATCCTCTTGTTTGCTCTACATTTCTCAAAGTGAACTGAAAGACAACACATCTTGGAACTGTGAATATTAATTACCAATAAAATTGAAGTATTAATCTTTCCCCCGCCACCCCCTTTTTGTTCCTAGTCTGTCTTGGGTGTTAATGCATGGCAGCACTGTCAGAAAGCAAGGTGAAGGAGAGCTTTGGGATATTTATTAATTACAATATTCACAGAAGGAGAGACAAATGAAGGCTGAAGGCTCCAGGGATAGTATTTCCAGCCTAAAATTAGCAGGCAGCTTTGAATGACTGGATTCCATAACACAAAATCGAGCTGCATAAATCATACAGGTTTACTGTTGTTTTTAGTTCTTATTGCTCTCCCTTAAGTTTAGCAAACATGGTGAGCAGTAGTTGGAGACAATTTCATGGTATCTAATAGTAAATAGAAAATTTTTCAGTTTCAGTAAAAGGGCACAAATCAGGACTCACTGCATTGCACCAAATCATTTGGCTTCAGAGGAGGACCCTGCCACAGTAGGCTTTAGATAAGGAAATAGTTTGCTTATGTCCTACTGAGCTCTTGCACTTGGGAGCACCAGGAGGAGGAAATAGCATCATTAGCACAAAATATCCAAGGGACCAGCACTGCTCAGGAGGGGCTGGCTGAATAAAACCTTGGTTTTGATGGAGATGGCAGCAAAAACCTGACTGGAGAATCAGGAGCTCTGTGAATCTCCTTATCAGCAGCAGTCAGTGGAACACTGTGGTGTCGGCCTGGGCTGAGCAGGGGACAGTCAGTCAGGCTGATTCTACACAGATGAAAGCATAACAGTTCTTCAGCATTACCTCAAAGTGGTTTCAACTGGAAATAAAAAAACTATTTCTGCTGTTGAAAACAATTTCTTTTTTCCCAATTCTCTTTTTGCCTTCCTACTACTTTTTTTTTTTTTTTTTTTTTTTTTTTTTTTTTTTTTTTTTTTTTTTTTTTTTTTTTTTTTTTTTTTTTTTTTTTTTTTTTTTTTTTTTTTTTTTTTTTTTTTTTTTTTTTTTTTTTTTTTTTTTTTTTTTTTTTTTTTTTTTTTTTTTTTTTTTTTTTTTTTTTTTTTGTGAATGTTCCTTTGCCATATTCATTAAATGCATCTTAAATAACTGAAAACTGCATTTTGGCAAAGGGCTCCATCAGTTTTTCATGGTTTTAATTCAGCTTCTGAGCTCAGTTTAACTAGCATAAGAGTCCCAGGGCACCTGCCATCTGTAATCAATTTCTCTGTGTCCAGTGTCATTATTCCATTTGTTTCAGTTTTGGTGTATAGTTATGATGACTAATCCTTTTCAAATGCTTTATCTTACTGAAGTTCCCAAAATAAAGTTCTATATCAGAGTTAGATGACAGGCAGACTGGTCAGAAAGGCAATATTTCCTTTTTCAGTTCTGTGAGTGTTACATGTCTCTGGCTGATGGAAGTAGCAGTTGTGTGATTCTCGTTGTAATTTGTGCAATACTCCAGGCAGTAATAGGGTCTTGCTGAAATATGCATGAAAAAGTCCATAACATTAGTGTAATGGACACACTCCAACACATCTCTCTCATCTGGCTTCCTCATAAAGATTTTCAATGACTGTCTTAATTAGATCCTAATATGAACAGGAATATTACATAAACTTAAATGAGGACATAAACTTCAGCTAAAAGCTACTTCCACCCAAGCCCCTGCCCTCTGGTCTGAACACACCAAATAGCTCTGGAACATTTTCGTTCTCCACCTTGGTTCCACTGACTGCTCTTTTTTTTTAAGTTTTCAGCAACAAAGCAAGCTTTTTTTTTTTTTTCCTGTGGTAAAAACTTTCAAATCTATCAGAGAAAACAAGGAATTACTTTGCTTAGGTCTGATTCACAATAACGTTGATTATTGCCCTGGCATTTCATTGATCAAACCACTAGGAAACTAATGAGAAAATGTACAATACAGTAGATTAACTTGGTTACTTCCCTCTTTTCTTTTTTTTCCTTTTTTCTATAATGTCTACTTTGTCCTAATGATCCATTACAGAGGTGTTCAAACAGAAGGCTATTTCTGAAGGTCACTGTACATTTCTCCATTCATTACCTAGAAGCTATTTTGGACTCTTGAAGTAACATCCACATACACTTTCTTAGCTGTCCCTGTTACAGTCATCCCTGTAAAGCAGACACACGTACAAAGTTCTGGCAAAGCAGTGCCAGTTAGAACAGTCAGGATCTCCCTCACACAGTAACAAAGACCAAGTGGAGACTTGTGCCTGCATTGTTCTGTTAAGTTTCCTCTTTCCTTCTCATATCACAGCATGCTCAGTCAAAGCTATTTTGGTGCTTCACTGATCAAACTGATTTTTTCCTTTGATGATAATATGAAATATGATAGGATAATAGCGTTGTTATATAATCAAAGTCGACAGCAGGGAGCTAAATTTGTGTTGTTTTGATGAAGAGCACATTAGTGTGACATAAATAGACTAATCTGATTTATTATTATTATTTCTAATGCTTAATAATAGGGAAGTGTAGGGGAAATGAGACTCTGGGGAATGAGAGTGCATCACAAAGTGATAGCAGACATCAGGATGTCTAGTCATAAGCAGCACCACTACTACCTGCTTCTAGCTTAATTTCAAAAGAGTGAGTAGCGAGCAAGAGAAGTTGTTCTCAAAGAAATAATGTCTTAAATGGAATAAAACAAATCATGTACTAGAGAAAATATTCTGTGAAAAGCAGTGCTGTGGGAAGAAAACTTGTTCATACAGGGCAACAAGAAGTCACAGATGGAATTGACAGAAGTCAGCTCACCTTTCACTGACTGACTTTTCATGTCTAACTGAAAAGCTGGGATTAACCTGGGACAAAAGCTTCCCTTTCATGATCATGTCTGTTCCAGTTCCAGACAGCCCACATCAGTATTCACACATCAGTCAAGAACCACGAAAATGACTAAAGAGAGAGGCATATTTTGCCTGTTGTACTGATGTCTACAGTATGATGTCTACCGAGTTCCTGTGCCTCTGGCTGCTCACAAAGCAAAGTCCTGAAGGCATCTCCTTGCAAAGGAAAGAGTTTCCATGCCACTTCAAAATCCCATGTGTAACAAAAACACAGATTGGACAGAACTCCGGGCTCTTCAGTCAGAAAATAAAAGTAAAAAACCATTTGAAAATCCCAAGGAATGCAGATACATTCAAGCAAAACACTTTCCCACATACACACTCATAGATTTTAGGCTTATAAGTATGGCTATGGACATCTACTCTGGCTTCTTCATAGCAACATACTCAGATTTCTTCAACTACTTCTATAAACTTCAACTAAGCTGAAGCAGAGCTATTATAAAGCCACTGAGTTTTAATGCAAAGACTCTAAGTGGCAGATAACCCATGACATGCTGAGGTAAGATTCTCCCCTCGTTAAATACCTCATGTATTAGAATTATTCTTCATATGTGGTTCGAGGGGGAAGATTTAGTAACAAATCAAATAGTGTATGTGAAGTTTTGAACTTCTCCAGGTCAACATGATTTACAGGACATTTAAAGATTATTTTTATATGCATCAGAATAGTAATTTCTTCTTAAAGGAAAAGAGAAAAATGGTTAACCAATGTTTTATAAGATGAAATTGCTTTTTTCTGTTTAAAGTTTTTATTAAAAGTCCTGTTACAAAAATTCTCCTTTGCCAGGCAGACAGAATTCCACCTGACACATGATATAGATGTGTAACTTCCAGGCATATGTTTTCTTATCTCCATAGCAGCAAAAGAGATCTGCATTTATTTGTACTTCAGGGATGACACAGGCAAAGATGAAGCGAGTGAATTTGGAGAGCACTGTGAACCCCATGGGCTACTCTCACAGGAACCAACTTCTAGGTGGCAAACACTAGAGGGGGTTTAACACATCCTGAAACTGCTTTTTAGGTATGTTTGCCTCAATCCTTTTGCCATCAGCATTTGCCTTAGGAGACAGTACTGGCAGCACAGAATTAATGCCCCCAGCAGGCCCCACACATTACTCTGAGAAAGTCCATCCTCATCCATCCTCATTAAGAATCCCAAGTTGTTTCTCCACTAACCTTAACGGAGGATTTCATGTCACAGCAATTTCTAAGCCCAAAAGAAGCTACATAGGGGAGTCAAAGTCACTGATAACTTGCTTTTCATTTACTTGTTGAAAGGCAGACGTGGAGAACATGAACATATTTGATAGTTAATAATTTAAAACCAAGTAGAAGAGAACAGAGGAGGAATGACATTCCTTATTTCTCCCTATTAATGCTCTTTATAGACACCTCTTTGAAAGGATATCAACATCCATCAGCACACAGAGCTCAGAGCTGTGCACATACCATCTAGTTTTAAGGGTAAAAAAAGGATTATTGCTTTTACACTGAGAGCACAAAATGGTAGAATCAGCAGGAGGTGATTAGTGCCAAAAAGAGATGGGATTTGTATGGCAAATTAACACGGAAAGCAATTCAAAAGAGAGAATTAGATCAGAGACAAAGGTGCAAGTTTATAAAACTCCCAGTCCTACACTTGCAAAATCAAAGATAAATCTCCAAAAGCACTAAATCCCATGTAATCATTGCAAATTCCTATTGTCTTAAAGGGGAGCTGGATTAGGCCTCTAATTCAGTTCTGTAAAGTCTGTTTGGTCCAGATGAACAACTGAGAGATGGACAATGTCCAAGGAACAGCTCTACAACGTGGTCTCAGCATCCTCCACCACAACTTGCCAAGGCAACCACTCCCACTGCTGCCCTCCAAACACTGGAGTAAAGCTATTTTTGCCCATTGCTGCTAAATGCATTTTGCCTTTGCCTAGCAAAAAAAGCAATATCACATCTGATCTCACAAGTTCCCAGTGAGCCAAACACAAGATACTGTCCCTTGAATTCTTCCTGAGACCAACAAAGGCTTTCCATTATTTACAAATCAAAAGCATTTAGAGACAATCATCTTTAGTTTTTATTTAAAACAAGGAATGCCCTGTCACTATTATATAAGAAAAAATATACATCCTCCTATTTATACCCATCTTAACCGAGCATTCCAAAAAAATATAATTCCTATTCATGCAGGTAATTGCTGCACAAAATAATAATAATAATAATAATAATAATAATAATAATAATAATAATAATAATAATAATAATAATAATAATAATAATAATAATAATAATAATAATAATAATAATTTATGAATAAAATTAAAATAACAAAATACACTCTTTTGTTCCAACAATTCTCCCAATTTATCTTAAAAATTCCACTTGCAAATTGTTGGAACAGTTGAAAATTATAAAATTAAATATAGTTAAATCAATAGGATTATTTGCTTTTGATTATTAATTCCATTGCTAGTTTTTCTTGTGTTTTTTATTATGCATACCAGTTTTACAAAGTGCATGCTTTATTTTTTTTTTTAATTTTGAACTGGCAAGCTAAAATGATCCATCTTTTCCTGCCTTTTTTAAATGTTAATACAATCTAAAATCTAGCATTAAAAAATTTATCATGATACACCTGGTATATTGACTGCTTATGGCGCATGCTTGTCTTGGCAAAAAAAAAAAATCCCAAAAACAAATTGGCTCCCCTCCCGCCCTCCCCATTCCTTTTGGAAGCAATCTAAAAAGCAGGCTGGAACACAATTGCTTCGAGGGCAAAAAAAAAAAAAAAAAATAAAAATAATACCTGATGCTTTAATTTTTTGTCACATGGCACTAGTTGTGGAATTGCACACGCGCACACACACGCACACACACCCCTGACACACACGCAAAGCACACACCCACGCTGCAACCTGCTCGTGAGGAAAAAAAGTTTGTTAGGTCAGGAGTGCCAGTGGCACATGAAGGCTCCCAGCTGTGTGTGCAACTTTGGATTTGGTACCCACTTCACGTCACCTTGAATCCTCTGACATCCACCGAGGGGGTAATGTAAGGCATACTTTGCTGGAACAGTAATAATCCATGCTTCATGCTCAAGAGCTGAGTCTCAGAGGAGGACTGGCTTGCTCTACTCCCTTTGGCCTCACTCTGCCTCACTCAAGGAACAAAAAACCCGAAACAGAGAAGAACTGGGGAAAACAAGGAAAGCAAAAGAAGACAAATCCCTTTAAATGGACTTTCGCCGTTTCATCAGCCTGTGGTTATCTGTAAAGCTGTGCAACCCAGGTGAGATGGAGCTGACAGGAGATGGGAAAAGGCTGTTTTTTAATGTGCTTGGCGAGATCTCCTCTATCTTGTAAGAGATGGAGTGAAAGTACTGGGGGTTCAGCTTTGAGCTGAAAGAATTTTGGTGGGACACCACCCGGCTGGTGTACTCGTGGGACCTGTAACACATGCAGGAACAAACTGACTGAAGGTCTGTTACTTCGGCCTTGTACCGTGGCCGACCGTGCTGGGAGTCCTCTTGGATGTGGATAATCATGCTGTTGCGGTTCCCTGCCAGGGACGCCCGTTCCTCGGCATCCCGCCTCTCATCCTCACTGTTCATGGTCAAGAACCTGAGAACAACCAGATTTAGAAATGCCCCAATGACTGTCAACCCCACTAGAATGTACATAAAGCTAAAAGCCACGTAGAGAGGCTTCTTTTGAAGGGCCCCTTTGGTCTGCAGGGCCACATAGTCTCCAAACCCTATCGTAGTCAATGTTATAAAGCAGTAATAGTAAGCATGGAAAAAGCTCCATTCCTCGTACTGGGAAAAGGCTGCTGCTCCAATGCAGAGTGTCCCCATGCAGGAGAAGAAACCCACAGTGACCATGTTTTCCATGGAGACCTCGGTGCTCCTCATCCCACAGCACTTTTTGATGCGTTTCAAGAGGTACTTGACGAAGGTGTTCATGCGCTCGCCCAGGCTCTGGAACATGACGAGTGTCAGTGGGATCCCCAGGACCGCGTAGAACATGCAAAAGGCCTTCCCTGCGTCCGTCCCTGGGGCAGCATGTCCGTAACCTGGGAGGGGGGATGAAAACACAGCACAGTCAGCAAGGCAGGTGATGACCACAGTTCCCCCTTCACGCAAGCCACATGAATCACAGAGGCTCTGATGCCGCAGCCAGGCATCACGTGCAATACTGGAAACTTTGGAATTAGATGGACTTTCCCACAGCGTTTTTGAGAGTAGTCCCTGTCCCAAAACCAGACTACATTGATGGCATCCAAGTTCTGTGTCTGCTGATAGTGTGGAGTTACAACATCCACAGATGCACAAACCAAATAAATTCCTTTTCAAACTCTTCCATACTGAATAAGCCTTTCTCCTTGACACCTTATGAAAGTCATTGCTGGAACACCATAGGAATTTAGGGATTTAATGTTTTTTTCTGTCTTTCATTACTGAAGAATAAACAACTTATCAGCTTGTTCCATAGTTTTGCAGCTTCAACAGAATTGCAAAGGCAATTTCATCAGGATGTTAAACTAATCCAGGAAAGAGGATGTACCACATTTCACAACATAGGTTACTGATAACAAAATCATAGCTAAGCCTTTATTCTAAAAGAAACCATAAGTGGAGGTCTGTTTTGAAAGTATAATTTCACTTTTTCACATCACACTGCTTTAAAAGTCTACATTTCCTATAGCTGAGATTCTAAGGAATGGTACCAAAATCTCCAAAATGGGATGGCTAGGACCCACCTGGCCATGTGGGTATCACTATCTAGATTCCCTTTAAAGTCAGTGAGTACAAATAATTTATTTCACAAAGGCAGCTCCTCTCATGTACACAGAGGTGTCTAAAACAGTCAATAAGTTATTCTCAGTAGACAACTATTTCTCTACAATCATTATAACAGAAATCTTGGGACAAAACTCAGTTTAAGATTAATATATCCAATATATTATATTTGCTGCTCTGAATTTGTCTAATCCTTTTTTGAAACTGTTGACACTGCACACCTCCTCAGTCTCCTGTGGCAACAAATTCCAGAAGTTCACTATCTGCTATGTAAAAAAGGTACTTTATCATTTCAAGCAGATCTCCTTGTTTCAGCTAGTGCCCCTTAGTTCCAGGACTGCAGTTCTACATCTACCTTATCTACTCCCTTCATGGCTTCAGCTAAACTCAGCTTTATCTCTGCTTTCAGTTTTTTCCTGTCTGAACTGAAGACACAGCTGTTTCAACTCATACAGCAGAAGTCACATTCCCTCGAACATTTCAATGTCCTTGTCTGGATCTTCCAGAGCTCTACCACATCATTTTTGAGTCAAGGAACCAGAACTCTGCATACCTCTCATGATGTGGATGCACCACAGAGTCTGCAGTTTTAACTAGAACTAAAACTTGAACACGAGGTAACCTTCAAAACGTACAGCAACAGGGGACAAGGAGAATAAAACAAGAAAGCCAGACAAGGATTCCCTCCAAAAAGCAACAGGTATTTCCATAGCTCAGTCGCTAGTTGTTGACAGACGGCTGGGATGTAAAAACGAATTTACAAAAGAAGCACACAACCCAAATAGGAGGTTCTTTTTTCAGGTTACAAAAGTAAGAGATTCACCTGTTATATTGAGCCAGGTACTCTGTTCATCATGAAAAGCAGTTTCCAAATTACCTGGAAAGGGAAGTGTCTTCAATAGATTGATGATGGGTTAGTTCTACCTGACTGTCCCTCAATAAAGCCCATAATTGCCTCTCATTACTAAGATCAGCTTTCGAACTACAGGGGTGTTAATTAAACCAGGAACATCTTCCCATTTTATAGCTTTAGTTACAGATGATAAAGAGAAGGAAAGCTTCAGAAAATGTGATTTTCCAGATGGCTGCAGAGATAGCAGTTGGTGGAAACAAGTTTCACTTTGAGTTCTAAAAAAATGATTGGGGTGAAAAAAGATTTCTTTTGATATCACTATATCCTTCTCATTAAAGATATCCCCAGAGACACTTTAGGGAGATTATAAAACATTAATATTATGTACTTACACACTATCTTACAGTTGAATTTCTAAGATTTGTCACAGACTTTGTAATTATATATCCCATAAGATAGGAATATATCCATATCCCTGTTTTACAGATAGGGAAGCACAGACACCAGCAGGCTTTAATTTCCCTCCAATTCACATAGGTAGATAGAACATCCAGAAATTTTTATTTCTATTCTGCCCCAAGTCATTCTCACTTTCCCCAGTATCAGATAAATGTCTTTTTTACTGTTTTCTCACCATGAATCTGGGGTGAAGAAAGGACTTTATTCATGAAGCTGGTATAAGACTTTACAAATAGATTCATGTAAGAGGATCAGAGTCACATATTTCTCCTGTACAACACAGTTTTAAGGAATAGGCACCTTATTCATTGCCTTCAACCCTTTGAAATAAGGGAAAACAAGGGGAAATACACCAAAGAAAGACTTAACTCTCCATTACATAAGCGTTACAGAACCTATCCAGCAATATACAGAGTAACTCATGGAAAGCAAACTGCAGCAGAGAATGCCCTCTGAAACTCAGTAAATTTCAACTCTAGAACAAACCACTGTCTTCTTAACATCAGAAACTGCCTCTGGGAAAAATGGGAAGGCTGGTAATTGCCAGAGGAAGAGGGGCACGAGGGATCATTAACGCTGGGACAGGACACAGTTCATGGGGTCGGTCTCCAAGTAGTTGGGTTTTACCTGCATCAAGTAAAGGCAGAAGCAGAAGCAACTGCCTTGGAAGCAGATTCCAGCTACCTAAATTCATCCTAATTTCCTCTACATGAACGCCCCTGCCCTTTAGCAGAGTATAAAGAGATGACTCTGTGTCATCCATAAGAAACACGAGGTTTAAAGAGAAATGGAAAGGTTAAGTATGACACTGGCTTTCCTTTCTCTTCTTTGGTGAAGAAGAAAGATTGAACAGAAGACCTTAGAAGTGAGTATAGGAAATGCAGCCCCTGACAGGCCATGGAACTAACAGTGAGAAAGATATGGAGTTTTTGTTGAACCACACTTAGGTAAATATTGTCTGTACTACTCTAGTAAGAGTTTACTGAGGTTCCCACAGTACAGCAGTGTGACCACAGCAGGCAGGTTTGTCTGATATTTAATGAGATGTAATTTGAATGATCAAGGAGAGACTAAATAACTCTCATCTTGATTGGAGGCAATGTCATCAGTTCTCTCTCTGTCTTTTATAACCCCTCGCAGCTGCTTAGGCTTTCATGACAGAGCTCATCTGGGTTGGCACCTTGAAGAATAGCTCGCCAAGGAGAAATGTTGTGTCTCAGAGTGTTACTCCAGTTCTGGACTGTGGAGCACCAATACATCACAAAAGTCATCTCCTCCCAGTCATGGAATGACTGGGATACAGAAATCAAGCAGAACTATAGGAAGGTGTAGGCAAGGGAGGAAAAGAATCAGACTGTAAGGGCTGACATCAAATGTGTACTCTGTTGGGGTCTTCCCTGCCTTTGATTTTTGCAGGCCTTGTCCATTCTCTGATGGGAAACTCTCAAAGACTCTGTTCATCTACATGTGATTCTAGAAGAAAAAAGGAATATTATTCACTTGTTTGCCAGAGTATAGCCATGGAAGTCTGAGGAAAACCCATTCAGCCTTTTTCAGAGCTTATTTTTCCATGGTGCCTTTCAGACAAGACACAGAGTGAAACTCCTCATTACAATCTCCATGAGGTCCATTTGCAGGGACTACCCCCACACCTTTCTCTTGCTTGTAAAGGGACATTGTGCTGGGGAACCAGCTCACTTACCAAAATGTGCAGAGGAGAACAGCACACAGTTACCCTGAATTTAACACTGACCACAAGTAGATGGCTGAGGAAGACTATAAGAATAATATACATACAAGTGATTTTTTTCCCCAAGAATTCATATACCCAGCTTCATTATTTGGTGCTCAGGGATATCCTAAGCCAGACAGTGTTTGGTTGGTTTCATTAACACACCATGGATTTGTCTTCCATGAGCTTGGGCATTGCCTCTTCAATGTGTGTGAAATTCCTGCACCTGCAGCATCCTGTGGCAAGAAGGTTCATAGATCAGCCATGTGTTCTTTAAAACAATGGCCATTGCTTCTTTACTTCTCTTTCATTACTATCAACTGATTGGTAATGGTATCTCCTCTATGGAAGAGATCAGGAACAATCATTCCCTATTCCCTTTCTTTGTGCCACTCATGATTTTATGGACATTTTATCAAAAAAAATGCTGTGTTGCATTCAGGCCCTAAGCAAGTATCCCTGGCACTCTGTGGCCTCATGTGGACAGACCAACTTGCTTAGATCTGCATCAATGATCTTTGCACCAAATTCAGCTGCAGGGTACAGACAGGCCTGCAACATCTGCCTTGTCCTCCAACACAAATTCTCTGGAATAACACTCTGCTTCTGGGGCAAAAAGGGTCTTGATAAACAATTTCATGCTATTGCAATGATGTAAACTGCTGAGAATAACTAAATCCATAACAAAAATAAAACATAATGGGAAAAAATTCTGAATACTTTCAGAGTGTTGCATCTACACAGTAACCATCTCCAGCACTGCAAGGCAGTATCTACTCTAGAAAACTAAACTGGCCTCAAGTTCTACCAGGGGAGGTTAGATTAGATACCAGAAAAAAAATACTTCATGGAAAAGGGTGTAAAGCATTGGAACAGATTGCCCAGGAAAGTGGTGGAATGTGGATGTGGCATTTGAGGATATGGTTTAAAGGTGAACACAATGGTGGTGCTGAGTTGACAGTTGGACTTCATGGTTTTAAGCGCCTTTTCCAGCCTTAACAATTCTACCATTCTGAGGATGAATTCTACCACCAACCCACGATGCCTCACTCTTAAATCATCAGCACAGTTCCCATTATGGCTTCACCCTGGAATAACCAGCACAGTCCCAGACAAAGTCCATGTCTAATTCACCCATGGAGGTTGACACTGGCCGGGGACAACTGCAACTAAGCACCATGCTGGGGCAGTACATGTGTTCAGTTGTCACTGGCCTTCTCCATGACATC